TGGGTACCTGCTCACAGGCCGCGGCCCGGCCCCTGGTGGCACGTGCCCGCCCCGGTCACACGGTGGGACATGGGCCGTGACGGTGGAAGTGGAGACGGGCCCCTCCCACCCTAGGCTCGAGGAAGGAGGAGTCCACCCACTGCTGCCAGCTTCCCTCATCCCTCGCGACCCATCTTGGCCGCACCGGCCCGGCCCGCAGGGCCCATCCCATCCCATCCCATCCCACCGTGGGTGCCCTGCCCAGCACCCCGCAGCAGCCGACGGCTCAGGGCAGGAGACGAGATTGCCTCGAACCCAGAGCCCGGGTCTCAGGTCCCACGGGGCTGGCCCGGCTCCACCGGGCAGCAGCTGCCAGGCCAGGGGCTGTGGCCTGGCGCTGGCTCCTGGGGGCACCAGGATCCCCCCGGCCCCTGCTGACTGGGCCCATTTCCCAGGCTGCCCAGTGAGGCCAGGTGCTGGGCAGGTGCAGCCCCGGTGACATCGTCCTTCCCAGAATAAAGGTTGGTGACAGGGTTATAAATACCCCAGGGCACGCGGGGGTGGGGGAGGCAGCCACGTTGCCCCCCACGGCCCCAGCCGGCCCCTCCTCCCCGGCGGCACCAGGGCCTGGACTGCCCCAAGGGGTCGTGGCTCCACCAGCCCCGGGGCACCGCTCCCCCACCACGTGGCGCCCGAGGGCCGGGGCCGCCCTCACCTCTGCTTGAGCTTCTGCAGGTCATCAAGGAGGTTGTCACGCTCGACATCGACGCGGGCGCGCTGCCCGGTGAGCACGTCGATCTGGCGGCGCAGGTCGCGCAGCTCCTCCTCGTAGAGCAGCGCCACGCGCGTGGGCTCCTTGCCCCGCAGCCGCTCCACCTCGGCCACCATGAGCGCGTTCTGCTGCTCCAGGAACCGCACCTTCTCGATGTAGCTGGCGAAGCGGTCGTTCAGCTCCTGAAGCTCGACCTTCTCGTTGGTGCGGGTGGTCAGGAACTCCTGGTTCATGGCGTCCGCCAGGCTGAAGTCCAGCAGCTCGCCCGAGCCGGCGTAGGCCGAGGACCGCAGCCCCGGCATCGTGCGGGACGTCCGCAGCACCGTCATGCCGGGCGCGCCTGAGCTGCGTGACACCTGGTAGACGCGGGACGACAAGGAGCTGCTGGAGCCGGCGCTGCCGAAGGAGGCGCGCGGGAAGGACGGGGAGCTCCCGCCGAAGGCGCGGCGGTACGAGGAGACCCGCTGGCTGGACGAGAAGTGGCTCATGGTGGCGGTGGAGGCGGTGGGCGCGAGGCGGCGGCTGGGGCTGGGGCTGGGGCTGGAGCCGGGCAGGAGTCCGGGACGGGACCAGGCGCTGCTATTTGTATCTCGCCTGACATCACCGCCCCTCCTCGAACAGCTGCGGCCGGGGGCCCGGGGGCGGCCCCGCCCCC